AATCTCAACCTTCCAGGATAAGCCTTTTGTCAAGAAGAATTCTTGTCTTTATGACCAGGGCTAAGTGAAACTAGACTTCTCGAATTAAGTGAATACGTATATTTCTATAGACTTCAACGTACAAGAGTCAGACCAACAATGAATATGGATACAGACACTTCATGGTACCTTTATAGACTTGAGCAAATCCAGACACAACTGCACAACCAAAATGGGGCAACAGAAAGGGGGACCAGGCAAACAACTGCAAACCAGACAATGCATCTAGGACACACAATGACCTTGTCTGCTTTGGAGCAACAAGTTGCTAGGCAGGATTTTACGGAACGTTCCAGAATGTGAAATACAGAGAACAATATTATTCACCTGTCATAGGACATGTGTCTTTTGGTGACACTATGTTTGGTTAAATTATAGTCTCAGATATCCTAAGTTCTCTACAAATTATATTTTTAATTGTGTGATGCAAAATTCACATTTCCTTTTTACAAGGAAATATTAGGCCCAGTTTTTGCCCAGCATCAGGCCAGAATGTGGTTTAATCTGGCCCTGGGGGTGTGCTCAATCTCTACACACAGACCCCAAAGGAAAGTGAAATTATTTGCTTCCCTTCCAAAAAGAAAACAGTAAAGTTTGCTAAAAAAGAGTTTCCATATTGATCAAAATTTGTTGCATTGAAATTTTTCAACTATGAACAGCATATTTTCTTCCATATTAAGGTGTTAATCATGTTTTCATACTGTGCAGGGAAGTTCTGTAAAAGCTTTCATGCGTGAATCATTTTGAATCCCATCTGATATTTACTGTACTCCAACTCATGTCAATTGAGTGAAAGAAATGGAAAAACATTGAATGAAAAAAATTGAATAACAGCAGTATAAAACTCCGACAAATGCAAACACTTGACTTATTTGTTACTCCATTCCCTGCTGTGGGCCCCAAATGGGGATCAGGCACTTTTTTTTCTGGTAATTTTGTGAGTCATCCAAGGGAGCCGAAAACCGCTCTGATACTGCATGAAGGTCTTAGTCACAGGGAAAAATAAATTTGTTTGGTTTAGTTCACTCTGTTCAGTTCAGGGGTGCTTTTTCTGGAGGTAGTCACAATTTTTTGTGTGAATACTCAGATCGCATTTTCAAAAATAAAAAAATGTCTCCAAGTGCGCTCAATTTTTGTGAAAGTGGGCTCATTCCATTCCCTGGTGAGTACAGCTTATGTTTATACCATTTATTTTATGCTCATGTAATTTGGATGTTCAGGAGAGTTGAAAATATTCTGATCCCCATTTGGGGCTCATTGCAGATGCAGCCTATATTTTCAAGGTGTGCCCTCAATCATGTTTTTTCAGGCAATGGCTTAACACTTGTTTCTTTCTCTGAGAGATCTTCAATCTGCAATGAATTCTGATGAATTATTTGGTTCTGATGATGAAGATCAGGGTATTTTGGATATTTTTGAAATCCCACCTATAGTCAGGTTGATGAGGTTTCTGACAATGAGGAGATTGATGATGACATAAATGATGAAGAGCCTTCTGATGTTCCTGGAATGGTTGAACTACATTGTAGAAGAACAGGACAAGATGTGCCTTGTAATTTTGACCTGATTATTCCATCAGCAAGTGTGGCTTGTGATATAGACCAATGTCCATTGAAGAAGACAGCTGTGCCTTTGACATTGACTTGGAAAGAAAACAACCCAGATATTCTAAAGTTTATCCTGGATCAGAACAAGTTGTCTCCAGAAGGAATGATATGATTGCTGAACTGAAAGGCAGAAGCCCTTTTGAGTGTTTTGAAATGCTTATGGATGAGCAGCTTTTGTCTTACATTGTTCAGCAAAGTGTTTTCTATGCTGCTCAGAGAAATTTTCATCTGTTTCAGCTGACAAATGAGTGTCTTAAAAAATTCATGTGTATTTTCTTATTCTCTGGGTATCATTCTCTCCCATAAGAACAACTGTATTGGTGCAAAGATGACAACATAAATGTGAAGTGTGTCAGACAATGTATGAGCAGGAATAGATATCTTGAAATAAAATGGAACCTCCACTTAAATGATAATTCTCAGCTGGCAGGAATCCCATTAGCTGAACAGCAGAAACTGGTCAAAATTTGCTCCTTGATTGACATGCTGAATCAAAACTTTCAGAAATTTGGTGTGTTATCTGAGAGTTTGAGCATTGATGAGCAAATGGTTTGTTATTATGGACATCATTACTGAAACACTTTATAAGGGAAAACCCAGTCAGGTTTGGGTTCAAGCAGTGGGCAATTTGCTGCTCTCAGACGGGTTACTGTTACCAAATGCAGATATATGAAGGCAAGGCAGCAGACTCCTGAGCTGATAAATGTACAATGGGGTTAGGTGCATCTGTTGCCTTGAAGATTATTTCAATTTTGAAGACCCCTAAGGCTCATAAGGTCTACTTGGATAATTTCTTCAAGGGATTTTCTCTCATGAAGCATTTGCAAGACATTTATATCAGAGCAAGTGGAACTGTTCAAAATAACAGGATGAATAAGTTCCCAGTTTCAAATGACAAGGAAATGGAAAACAAGAAAGAGGTGCATATGATTTCAGGTTTGATACAAAGAATGAAATATTGTCAGGGACTTGGAATGACAACAGCTGCGTTACAATATTGACAAACCATAAAACCACTTTCACATGTGAAAAGATGGAATTGCTCACAGAAAAAAGAAGTGCACGTCCAACCGCCAAAATTGATTGCTGAATACAATAAACTCATTGGAGGAGTTGACAAGATGGACTGGAATGTTGAAAAGTACAGAATCAGGATCAAAGGGAAAAAGTGGTATTTCCCCTTATTTACGAATGCAATTGACGTTGCACTGGTAAATTCACATGCTCTTTTTGTCTCGCAAATGATTCAGTTTAAATGTTGGATTATATAGACAAAGTGTGGCTCGGGTGTACCTTGCATCATCTTTGAAAATATCTGACCCCAGAAAAGCTGGGAGGAAATCATTCCCAATTTCTATAAGGCATCAAATTTCTGCTCATACAAGACAGTCTGGTTTTCATTGCCTACAACGTACAGAAAGAGGAAAACAGGGAAAATGTGGTGTCTGTAAAAAAATGTGAGGAAACAGTGTCAAAGATGTGATGTTGGGTTGCATGTTGCGTGTTTTGAGGAGTGGCATAAAAAGTAGACCCTATCTGCCATGAGCCCCACTTGGGGATCTGTTGAAAAACTTGATTTGTGATAGAGATGTTCGCGCAAAAATCGAAATTCTATTTTTCCCTACCTACTGTCATGTGAATGAATCAAAATAGAGCAAAAAATGTCTAAAAAAATTTGGCAGTTAATGGGTTAATACTGTATAATTAAACTGGCATAGGTGAAGGAGCTGTCTTCAAATTTAGTTGGTGATACGGTAAATTCAGGATTTGTATGCAGTTTTTTTTCCGGTGGATTCCTCTTACTGAACTGCTGTACAGTACTGCGAAACATACGAGGCTTTGAGTCTTCTTTGGGGTGGAGAAATTTCGTTTATTTACCCCTATTTTTGCGAATTTTTCGAAGCGTGAGTTTAGTCTGCTGTATGAGGCATTTGAGGCTGATGTACAGCCTGTCTTTGCAGCTATTTTCCGCGTCAAGTACTGGGACATATAATTGTGATGTTCAAGCATTAGCATCCCCTGTGATTTCTGTGGAACAGATCATCAGCCAGTGAACATGTGAGGAAATATAAATGCAAATCCTGGTCGGACGGCGGAGGGAAGGAGAAAGAAAAAATGATTAATTTATCATGCTGTGTTGGGAGCAGTTTGTTTAAGCAGGGTATGTAAAATGAATAACTTGCTACAGTATTCATTTACTGTAGCAGTACAGTATGTACTGTACTTGATATAACCGACACCTAGGAAAGAGAGGAACCTATGAATCATATTCTACAGAAACAAAAACCAGCAATCTTCCCTTTCATACATATTAAGAAAAAAGAAATCAATCACGTCATCGCTGAAAACGTGAAGAAAATAATGTTTTACAACAGGGATTCCATGCAGCAAGTATGTGCAATAGTGCTGTAAGCTATTGATCTGAAGGGACACGAATACACGCATGAACGGGAGATATCTACCACATACCAACTTCTTCTTGAGGAAAGTATGACGTGACTGAAAAAATGCGTTCTACTAACGCAGGTGCCGCTCCCTCTAAATAACGTCGAGTCTACCTAGATCCTACCTAGACGAAACTCCGCTGTATTTCGTGGAATCACCCTACCCACCTATTTCGTTATATAGGACCAAAAACGAGATTCTCTCAGATACTGTACCTTCGAAAACAGCTGAAGAGAAAAAATGGACAGCTGACAAGTTTCCGTACCGATACATTAGCACCGTAGAGCTTTCTTCAATATGAGGCGTAGTGAGTGGAGCGGAGCTGACACGCGATTAACGTTAGGCATCACTGCATCAGTCATGTTTAGGTTAAATACAGGACAAAAATTCCCGTCATCCAATGCATCTGACACTTCAACTCTTGAAAAACATTTCTACTTTGTTAAAAATTTAATGAGCACTGCGTTCAACAAAATCTACGTGCTCAGCAGCGAAATCGCCCGCGGTATACAGTATACGCGCATCAAATTGAGATGGCAAGACTTGTTAGAGAATAAAAATGATTAACTTTTGATCATCTATAGCTGCTCATACATGGTCAACAGCTCCTTTTTCTCTCAGATGAAGGAATGATGTTTGATAAGCTGTATTTAGTGTGCGAGAGGTTTATTCAAGTGTATCTCAATCCGGAAATTCACGCACACTTACCAATTGATCAGATATCCTCCTAAAATTATTCAGTGCCCAACACACGCTGCTTCCTGCTTCACATTCTGATCATTATGAATTGATTTTTGGTAGGGAATAGGAATACTGTAATCGGATGACGAGTCTACATGTATGCTGCAGCCCATGAAGTAAACGTTTCACAATGGTTGTAATGAATTGAGACCCGAGACAAGACACGGCTGAAGCGACCACAGGTTTTTATCTCATCGCCCAGCATTCAACCACGCATTCTTGACCCCAAACCCAAACTGAAAAAAAGGAAAGAGTGTATTCGGCTCACGTCACAATCAAACGTATATCGATTTCCGATCACCACCGAAAAACTTGGTTCCTGCCTCTCCTCCACACTCGTCAACAACTATTCCTTCCTCATCCCTCCCACGAACCCTTGGATATAACACCGAGCTACGTATTACGGCATCTTTCGACACCCGCACACATCATGGGATCACGGATTCACCAAATTTGCGAAGTCTCGTAACCGAATCTCAGAAATTCCATCACAAGGAAATCAAGTTCGGACGCTGGTCCACTGCGGTCGCAGCCAACTCGTCTCTTTCTCTCTCTCTCGCGGGATGACCGTAGATGGTAGAAATTTGATCTCAATTTTCCCCCACCCCCACTTCAGTCCGTTCCATGCTTGTTAAACTAGTCAACACCGGGTTCACCACTAAGGTTATACAATCTCCGCTGGTAAGCTTTCTTTCTTTCCCCACTACAGAGAAGACACAGGAGCAAAAACCGATTCAAAAAGGGGTCTACACGGAAAGCCACACAATAACACCGTACGCTGACCAGTCGGAGCGAAATAAACAGTAATTCTTCCGTTCGCGACGCGCCAAATGCCCGCGACGTTTGTCTCATTCAAGAAACTAACAAACAAAAAGAAGGTCGCAATTTCCCAAACGCAAACACGAGCTGAATTCCGTTTCAAAAGATATTGACTATAATGAGACGAAAAATAAAGATGAATAAATAAAGAGGCGAGTTCGGACGAGCGATACTTCCCTTCAGTGTAGGGAGATCCAAATGAAAGATTGCGCTGAACATCCCAGAATCATGAAACCATAGATCAGATGCACTAAAACGGTGCAATAATAACCGATTTTGCAAAAAAAAAAGGGTCATCAACTGAAAAGTACCGTATTCACGCAAATATCAGACGTCGGTGTTCCACGAAAATGCCCTGGGAAATTCGAGAAATTTTTCTGCAATCGGTAGACCAACACGGCACTTTTCAGTGACTAACACTTTCATGGCAATGACACATTGTAAACAAAGGCTCCCCGCTGTGTTGGTTTACTTGGAATTTCGAGTTTACCGGGGTTACGTTCAGTTTATTCTCTTAACCTACTCCACAGTTGAAAGATGTCCGATGAGAGATGCGACATCAATCATTCGAAAGAACGCACATTTTTGGGCTACCCTATAAAATATAATCTAAAATGCTAATCCTAGCTGCACCCCAGCTTGATTCAGAAGTTAAAACTGTCTTTCAAAAGTGTTGAATTAACACGACTCCAGTTCAGCGCAGGTCATCAAATTGTCTCATTCTTCTTTTCAGCATTGAAAAGTGAATATCTTCAAGCTGAATTGTAAACGATGACGCGAAACAGCAAAATCGCTCGTCCAAACTCTCAGCAAAAAAGTGCCGAACTTTCATCAATACCACAAAGAAAAAAGGGGAACGACGTCGGAGGAGACAAAAAATAAAACATTACGGAGGCCGACTTTTGGGGAAAGTCCAAGGGAAAAAAAAACGGAAAAAATTTCACTGACAGCCAAGCGAACATCGAGCAACACCGAACACCAGCCGACTACGCTCTACCGGTCGTTTTCTTTCCAACACCAGAATCTAGCAGGCAACCGTTCTTCGGCGGTCTCCGCACACTTTTCGACGGCTGTCCACAGAATAACACGCAAAAAACACCAACTCCCTTCCACCCTATCACAGCCTCATTTTACAAAACTACTACTCCTACACCAATGGGGTTGGTTCGCGTCTATACGAGACAATCGCAACTGCAACAGGGCAAGATAACAGAATACAAACGGAACAAAACTTTTTGATGCTAAAATGCGCTCGGATACAAGTTTGCGGTGGATTGAGCAAACCGGTTGGCCACTGATGATCATCCTTCTCGAATTCTCCACGAGTTGTTCCGGTAAACAAAACTTCTTTTTCTTCTTCTTCTTTAAAATCCTCCCACATAGCAGGAAAAAAACTGGCAATCATGGCGAGCAAGAACCACCCACCCACCCGACCACGTAGCAACACGTTCCAAAGAATGCGTCGAGAATGGAACAAGCGAGCAATTGGGTTCTGCAGTAAAATACGCCACTCCATCCTGATCTTACTTCGCGCTCGGTTTCTCGAGGTAGCTGAGGCAAACGAAGGATCACGCTCCTTACAGAGCATCCGCCAGAAGCTTGCCTGATGACGACGCGCACGAAGTAAACGATGCATCCGAGGAAAATAAAATATCGAACGTTCTCCACTGCCACGAAACCAAAAAAAATAAAAATCAAATCAAATCTCACGCACGCAACCCAGAGAGAAAAACAGCAATGTCCTCCTCTCATCCTTCAATTTCGCTGTTACACGCACTAACAGCATTGCACATTTCGTTTCAGCGCAGTCCTCACCGGTGCCCAGAAACTCCAGCCAACATGGATGGTATTCAGAGACAAGCCAAGAAAAGCAAAAAATAAATAAAAGTCCTACCGGAACCGCAATCTGCATCCGGCAGCAGGTAAACTTGTTGGAATGCACTCACATGAAATGCAAAAAAAAACAATAAAAATTATCTTCTGTCAACACCACTGTTCCTTTCGTACGGGCAAACCAACGTTTAGATAAAATCTATTTATTTTCTCGGCACCTAATGAGCTAAACTCTTTCCTTGGTAAGGACTCAAGCAACAACGAAAGCCACCCTAAACCTTTTTTCTCGAAAGAATTAACAATGATAAGACAAATTAACAATCCTTGTGGGACGGGAAACGTTGAACCCAGCAGCAATCAGATGTGTTGGATTGAGATCAATCCCATATAAGACCACTGCTCGGACCTCAGTATTTCTTCCAGATCAAAAATAAAAACTCCGACCGAGATTCAGTCTTTCCCCAAATTCACTCAGCGCCCTTTTCCGAAACAAAACAAAAAAAACGATCGCATCCTACAAAACGAACGCACAAGATAACAACACACTTTTTCTTCAGTTACCTCATTTGAACACCCGCATTCATGAAAAAATGACAGCTTTGAGAAGTCTGTAACATGACGTGAACTTATCCAAGTTCGAAAGGCTATTTTCTCTGGTTGCCGTGAAAGGGTGCGGAGAAATCTTTGACCGAACTTCCAGTTCTCGTCGCGAAGAACATAGACCCTACACGGAGTAGTACTATAACCGAGAATGCAAAAACGAACGAACAAAAAAAAAGATCACGTCAGCAGACAAGCAATAACACGCATGAGCGTGTTTATGGAAAAGCCAGATTCCGCAGGAATTCAGTCTCGCCGACACGAATGACCCGAGGTGGTGGGTGCCAAGTGGGAAGTACAGGTACACGCAGATGACAGGCGGGTCGTAGAGGAAGCTCTCTCCGGAGGTAGGAATCATTCTTGCACCCGCAGCGATATCCTGACGAGTACTTGGCTCCTCTCCCGCACTCGAACGATTCGAGGTTCGATCAATGGCTACTTGAACAGAGTGGCCAGTCCGCCTTTTGGAATGCCCGCCTTCACTTTATCCAGCACTGAGTTCACAAACTCGGTCGCTCTGCCCGCGACTCTCGTTCCTGCAGCAGGCCAAAAAAGTAAAGAAAACCCTTTTTCTTTCCTGTATTTACACACAATAATGACACACACAACTTGAAAGCTTCCAGACAGTGTAATTTGAGACACGAAATACACCATTAAATAACTCAAGCATTCCTCTTCCGGGTTGATCTTCCAGGCTATTGTACCGTATTGGCGAACTTGGATAAGTCAAACCTAACAAAGTGAAATAATGTAATGTACCTCCCTACTTCAATTTTGTTGTTTCCAAGTAAGTCCCTGTCTGAATTCCGTTGGAAACGCCTCCCTCACTCTAAGACATTCCCCTCAAACCTCCACAAATCAAACTTCTTGCAGGCCGCTCGGCTTTTATTTTATCCACACGGGAAAGATAGGAGCAATAAAAACGCAATTCGATGTGTTTTGGAAGGAAGTGAAAGACTAATTGTTCAAATTAACCCTTGACTCCAACTTCAAAATCTTTTCAACTCATTTAAGAAGCGATTTACGGCCCAAAATATCACCACTTACAATTTCCTGTAATCTTTCTTTCTTATTCAATGCTCCAAATGTTCTTATTGGGTTGAAAAGGTATTAACTGAATCGAACTCAAGTGACAAAATATTTTTTTAATGGAATTCAGGAGAATATTTCTTCTATAAAATACCATTTGAAAATTATGTGATGTAAGTCTATGGGAAAACAAGACTCAACTTAGGGACACTCTCAACGCACCAATTATGTCCGCATCTGGGGGTCTCACTGTTCTCTACAGAGCAATAATGTACCTCAAACACAGAACGCTTTGGTGAAATTATCAACGACACAGAAAATCAAGAACAAACAAGCTGACAGCAATGCGTTTTGGACAATCCTTCACTTCTGATACCGAAATATGAACGTGCGAATCAGATTTGATGACTATTCAGATTGCACAAAGACGAAAGACATCAACAAAATGTTGTTACCGTTCTCAATCATAAAAACAAAACAAAAAACGTAACAACAAAATGCTGTTAAAAAAATAAAACACGTGTGGTGGCAAAAACTCACGTAGGACAGGGTCGCAAAACTTCTCCAGCTGCGGAGATATGGGACAGTCTATCGGGACCAGGTCCCGACAAGAAACATCGTTGAATACAGATGCAACCCGAGCATGCAACAACTTTTTTGCGAATTCGATGCAATCCATCAATTTTCCTGAAAGCCGAAAAGAGAAGACCTTCGGTCAGCACTCAGCATCAATCAATAATACAGTACCATTCAAATTTCAAAGTTTTTCACTCACGATGCTCTTCTTGTAATCCGTACAACGTCAGCTTGTTGGCCTCATGTTGCGCTTTCTTCTTCAGTCGACAGGCTCTGAGAAATAAAGAGTATCGAAAAAACATTACAGTCGGACAAAAGGGGATTGTTTTTCGCTTTCACCGCTCCAGAGAAGCGTAGTCTATTAATAACACCGGAGCGATTATTTCCTCGGAGGCACTGAGAGACCGGGAATATTGAGTTTTCGATGGGTTTGTCAGGAGATAACCCAGAAATGTTCAGTGATAAGAGTGCACTGACCTGGATGCAAGTTTATTCTTCTCCTTCCGCGACTTGGGTCGATCATTGTAGGGAAGCTCGGCAACCGGAGTCATGTCGTTGATGGCCTGATTGAGCCCATCCAGCTCCATCCCAATGTTGTACAACTTTTGTGGGCTCGGGGTCAAGTCATTTCCGTCGCCTCGTCGCGCTTTCCCACTGTCAAAACAACGAAGCGCAGAGACGTGAGTAAACTCAACAGATAGAGCAATCCCAGCTCAGAGACGCAACAAACAGATAAGGTACGAATAATGCGCGGTCACAAGTTCTGTTGCCGGAAACTTCGAGAATTGCGCAACGGAGATAACTCTTCAGGGAGCAGCATTCATTCGTATCAACCCGGATACAAGACCCTTTCAACAAATACAGCAGAAACTTTTTTTCTGCCATCATCTCAATGACAAGAACCTTTTGTACTGGTCCCACACACATTTGATTCCATGTTTGAAAATAATAGAAGTCGCATACTATGCGTTCGATTATTCTGTCGATGAATAAAAATGTGGCTCTTCATCTATAAGTATTCTTTGTAACTATCTTCACCATTACTCTGATTTCACCTAGACTTGCATATGGACTAATTTGCTGTTCAAGGTGGGTTCGTGCACAGACAAAACCCATCGCTGCTTCACTCGATATTCGAGTGACAAAAACGTTGATATTCTGATGAATTAAGATAGTGATTTTAGAACAAGAAAATGTAAGTCCAATAATGTCAACACAGCTTGAAAGAATCGTTACTTCACATGACGAACTTCTTGTGCTTTGCAGTCAAGGCTAGGAAGGGGTTAATGTGCGAACTTTTGGGAATGAATCCCAGCGAGATTCCATTACTACTGATGGAACACAACATAACGAGATGTCATGTTTTCCTGATCTACAAGAAAGAACTTACATTCCCGCAATCCATTCCTTCAAACAAATCCACCCGTCAAAATGAGGCTAGTAACTAACCCCATCTACCAGACGACAGCCTTCGGCAACAGGGTAGGATTAGGTTGCAATTTTCAATTTCAGCCCAACGACGATCCCTTCACAATTCCGAAAGCCAAATTTACGCGAATGTTAGCACACGATCAATTTCACAAGGTCAAAAACTAGAGGGGTGCTTAGTTTGCATTTCCAAGTAATTCGCGGACATAGTCGTCTATAGTTTAAAAAATAGTCCCTTTTGCGGCCCACAAACCGATGAATCCCTTGTTTCTTCAGTGTTTCTAGAATTGAAGGTTAAAAAATTATCAAAATATGATCAGCTCGAGATAAATGAGTCATTGACTGAACGGGAAGAGCAAGGACTGTGTGAAACAGCTTTTCCTTTTCTTCGGAAAACCTCAACTTCACAAATTCCAGGGTAATGGAAGGTCAGAACAGCGGTTCAGTTAGTAGCTGCTCATACAGTATCCGCCGATTCGTGGAATTTTTATTTTGCGCATGAAAAAGCCAAGGGGGGGAGGGGTTTATTTATTTTCCGGTAAATATGGTATTTTCATGTTTTTCTGAAACAAATGGAGTGGGAATTGTATATACATTATGTCGGTAAAATGAATAAAATGCAGTGCTCTCGTGTAGTTATCTTTCAACAGATTCGTGATTCAGGCGACATCTGCCTGAAATTACGATGGGCAAGGCGCGCAATGAAGCCAAGGGCAACATTAATAGTGTACAATAAAATCTGGTTACATCAAATTGTTCAGTATAAAAACGTTTTCGGTGGTCCCCAGAATTTTGCTGCAACGAGATTTCCCTTTTTTCCCCGAAGTTAATCGAGAATCAAAATTTTAAAAAGGTTACAGTACAGACCCATTATAACATGGAAACCCAAATGAACCGCCCATATCCAGTACTGTACAGTGTTGTAAACGTTGCATCTGCTTCAACGGACCATCAGCGCTCGGCTCGCATGACCTTGGACATGGCGCGAAATGAGCATCGAAAGGTGGAACGTTGTCATGGAATAACGTTGGAATAATTAAGTCAGATGCTATCAGACTTCCATACCAGGGACAGCTAGGGGGACCATATGGATGCGAAGATGCAACGCATAAACAGCCCCGTACCATCAGATGAGCCTCACGTCAACGAACGACAGTCCTTTTCCGTGGTCTTTTGTTGACAGCGAAATCAGAGATATTTTCGAAGACGCCTCGTTTCTTCAAATATAACCTTAGGTACAGCAGAACCTCAATATCTCAAACCTCCCATAGGCGAATTTTTTTTTCAAGTATCCGTCTGAATCCCTTCAGAAACAATGCAATAAAATCTCTCTAACTCGAAACGGTTTTCCCATAAAACCTCCGCGACTCGAATTTTCTTAGGTCTTCTAAGGATTGTTTTCTTGACTTGGGAGAAAGAAAAGCAATAAAAAAATAAATGAAGTGTTTTGGATGGAAGTGAAAGATTAATGGGGCAAATGAACCCCTGCCTCCGAGTTCAGCATCCTGTTCTAATTTAGGAATCAATTTAAGGCCCAAAATATCACGATTTAAAATTTCCTAAAATTCTATGCTTTGCACAAAAAAATATTTGTTTCCCTAACTCACAATCTAGCAAAATCGAATTTATTTTTGTTTGTCCCTCGAAATTCGATTATTAGAGGAATTTTTCCTCAATTCCGAACGCGAACAAAAGCATTATTGGACAAAAGGAAGCTCAAACCGCGAGGACCACATTCGAAGAACATAGTTTTAAAAACTAAAGAAACTACACTTCGGTTTTCAAAGATTAATGAGCGATCTCGTTTGAATGAACGGATCGACAAGGGATTTAATATTAATTGTGGATTTTAAAACAAAATAGCACACGTATACAAACCGGAATCCAAAATTCACGTGAATCAACACAACAGGACAGCCTGTACCTCTCTCCATTAGATGCAGTACTTGTTTGCTGAGATATCACGACAAATCGCACTAAATCTGCCTGTTCAGACATTCTGTTTGAACAGCCATCATCAGCACGATTTCACACGAACACAACGACACAACTTCGTCTGTACCGCTCCGTTCTTCTTTACGTAACGAACATGCGAGTGCTGGCGAATATGGCGTCGCATTCGTCACAAATACCCAACGGAATCTCAGGAGTACACGTGATCTTCAATACACATTGTTCGCGGAAAATCCGACATTTACCGGGCACTCAACTGTCTCAACAAGAACACCCACCTCTTTACCAACACGAGAAGAGGTCCTCACCTGTGTCTGATCCCTTGAGCTGCAACAACGGGGTTGAAAACAGGGTCGACAACCTGGTCCAACACGTGTGGATCCTGCGGGTTCGGGTTCTTGAGAACCAAACGCTGTCCCTTGGGGCCCTTCGCCTGAACGTTGTACTGCCAAAAGTACCTTTCCCTGGCGGAGTGTCCGAGTCCGGCGGCGCCACCGCGAGAATTCGGCGACACCACGCGGACGTCGTAGCCATCGTCACTGCTCGCGTTCGAATCCGCATCCGAATCCTCCTCGTCCTCTTCCGTGTCTGAGTTGTACAGCTCTTTGTCGTAAGACAAATCATGACCGCCACTCAGCGGACTGAGCACGCTGCCCGTGGACAAGGACGACCCCGAGCCTCCGTGTGACAACGACTCAATCAAAGACCCGCCCGACAAGAGATGCGTGCGTGGTTCCCGTTTGCGCCAGTGCAATTCCAACGAGTTCGAGGGACACGACGACGAGAGGCGGATGTCCGGGGTGGACGACAGAAGACTGCCGTTTTTCGCCAGGCCAGTGAGTGGCTGGTGTTGTGGTGTTGTGCCAGACGCCGTGTGGCCCCCCGTTGATGCTCCTCCGTGGATGCCCGAGGCTTTGGGCGGTCGTCGGTGGCCGATGGCGCCACTCATGGTGGATGCACGAGGACGCATTTGATGCGGCGCCTTGCTCCGGTTCTGGTGCAAAATATTGTTGTGCAGCGTCAATTTTGATATGCCGTCGGAACACAGGGACGCCGTGGAGCTTCTTCTGCTTCCCGTCGTCGTCGTGGGTGACTCCACTGTCGTTCCCAGTAGTCCCACCTGCAACGAATCAAATACGCATTACATAAGAATTCGTTTCGAAAATTTAAAGAATCGAACATCAAGGCAAATCACGGGAACGACACAAAACAAACAACGATTTCCTGAAGTTAAAGAAAGACGTTTTTAACTGGTGGTATGAAACGTTGTTTATCGCGAAAAGGTTTCCACTTTCAATTGAATGGATGATCGATGATGAAATTCAGAACACACAAGAAAGAAGACAAAGGGAAGCAAAATAAGCTTCGAAGTTCAAGGTTCAAAAGCGTCCAGTGACACCTATCTTGGGAAATCTCAAACGAACGAGGAAGAAACGCGAACTGAAGAGCAACGGTACAAATTACTGTACAGCAGAATGTCGTTATAACGAATAATCGAACGCAACGAATTCATTTTTTAGCACCATGTCCGACAGCTACAATGCTATTCGAGTTTCTCCAGAACCCACTTATAAAATCTATTTCACTGATCGCAATGGCTTTGTCGTAACAACATTTTCCTGTAGCTGACACAGTATAACGAAAAAGTCAACATTGCACAGTACAGTATACAAATCAAATGCAGCGGATTCTCATTACAACAAATCTTGTTACAGTATATCGAATCACTGATTACAACCAAGTCGTTTTTCAGGTTACGGTTTAATATAAATAATGTTATTCATATCGCTTTATAACGAATTTCTCGCTACAAAAATGATATATCTTCTGTCCCAAGAGCGTCATTGTAACAAGATTTCACTACATAACGCGAACTCTTGAAACTCACTCTTTTAGAGTGAACCTGAGTTGCTATTTCAAGACTTGACAGTATAAAACGCATCAAATTGGCATCCTTCACATGGATACGTGGAACAGGACACCAAGAAATACATAAGAAATCTCTACGACTTTCTGTGTAAAACGATTAATTTTTGTGGTGTAACAGGCATTTTCTCCCAGTGTTACAAAGGGGGTTCTCCACAACGAAACTTTTTCTGGTCCTTTGAATTTCATCCACCAGTACTTGACAGCTCTTACTGCACTCAAATAAAAAAATAAAATAAAACCGCGAACAGACAGAAATCCCGTACCTGTTGAAAGAGTTGATGCTGAGTAGTTTGAGGAGAATTCAATGCCATGGGCCCCGCCTTGTGAGGCAATGACGACAAATTAGACGCCAAAAATGTCAACTGCTGTATCTTCTGCTGGGCCGACTGATGCTGGCCCACATTCTGCGGCTGCGGCTTGAAACCAATCCCGGCATTGCTGACCTTCGTCGTCGTGGCCATGTACATGCCAGATGACGACGGCACACTCGACGACAGCGTCGCGTTGTTGGAATTCCCTGCAAACTCGGGCTGTTCCAATTGCCTCGCCAGCAGCGGCATTTCTTGATGCATCATCGTGCCCGGGGACGTGAGAATGGACTGCATTTGAACCCCGGAAACCCCCAGGCCGGAATTGGCAATGTAGTAACGCTGGCCATCGATGTCGACGCTGGCGACTACAGAACCCGACGTGCCGAGAGTCAATGGACGCGTTTGTAGATGAGCGAATGTTCCATTGTCGGCACTTGATGACGCCAGGATATGGTCGGTGGAGGATTCGGGGATGAAGTAATTCTGGTTCAGTCGAGTTCTCATGTTGCTGTCTTCGGGTAACATTAAATCGTCAAAGCTCAGGTCGTCTAGTAGATCCCCAGATAGAGGAGCGTTCAGTTCAGCTAGTGTCGGCCCTTGGAGAAAGTCATTCTGGTCCGAGTGCAGGGACATCTGAGAAATCAATCATTCAAAATAGCATTACTTCATGAGTATCACGAGAATTTCAAACCAAATTCAAAATTATGCTATCTAAAAATTTTGAAAACCCCGCGATCAAACCCGAACAGTATTCACTTACTCGTACAGTACACATTTTATATTTCGTAACTGGCATGAAAATTTCGCGGCAATTGCGAAAGAGCTCTTTCTTTCTCTCTCAAGGCTACGTCAAAATCATGCAAGTATCCCAACTATAATTACTGAACAAAAAATTCAAGTTCACACAGCAGTACCAACAACAGAACGAAACTAAAAAATGGTCATTTTATAATGTACGCTCTTTTTCAATGCTTAACTCTGCCATCTTTCATCCCTTGACATTCTATCTTTTCATTGTTGCAGTTCAGCATTAAAAAATTGTTTCTGTTGGCAATATCGTAACACCAAACCACGCGATGGATTGTTATTCTACTTCAGACACAATCTATTTCAGATTTCTGCTGATGCAGATGCTTCATGTATCAAGAAGCCTCCTACAGCAAAATCATTTGCAAAATTGCAGTCCAACTTTCCTTGTAAAATGGGGGTTCGCGTGAACAGCAGCTTATTCAACACTTCATTACTGCGATGCAATTTTTGTACATTGCAAAAATTTCCGAACTGCCTCATCTCAAAGAAAGTAACACTGGTGGATAAAGTTTCCCGAGCACATAATTGAAACAAATTGCTGTATGCGGGTTCGACCAGAAAAAAAAATTTTGAAGGATAAAAATTCCAAGTAAAAGTTTATTTAATTCTTGATTATTTTGACGTACTTATTTCCGATACTGTACAGGACCAGTGGACCTGATAAGAGAAACTACATGACGACGCCATTAAAAATCATCATTTTTTTCGCATCCTGGGAAAAATGTAATACTCTTTTTCACACAACAGCCCAGAATATCCATCTCAACAGCAGATAAGTACTGTACTGTACTGTAAAGCTTGGTTGGTTGTTTGCAAAAACATATGAAGACACGCACGCGGATCCAGAGCAAGTCTCACTCTTGTCATTTCAATCAAAGAATGCATGAGAGAACTTCAAACCTGCTACAGTTACCTATAATGGGGTATTTATTTTTCATCAAGTTGCTTTAGAAAGAAATGTTCCCACACCAAGTGCCATTCTCACGGCTCAATGGATACTTTCGTACGAAACTCAGTCCTATATGTCCCTTGGGCCGGATCTGACCTAAAGAGACTCTTCATCCATCCCCTAGTGTCTTCCCTATAATTTTCACGGTGGCAGCCACCACTAGTCGAAATATAAAGGTAGACTCTCTCCGCAACAAAATGCAAGGGACCAGAAAAATGTTTCGAAGATTTTTTGCATAAACCTTTATGAACACTATGGGAAGAAAAAAATCATTAAATCAGGGAAAATTGTTTTAGAAAATTGTGAAGAGAGGCACCTTGTACAATGAAAGAGGAATTAAAAAATTCAACATGGTTTACCGTTTAATTCAATTTAAAAGGGGCAAAATTTGAAACCTCAAAAATTGTAGTCTACTGTGGCCCGCAACGACTTCTCGCCTCTGAAATGTGGCCCTTGGCCACATCGGAGTTTGGCAGCACTGGTTTGAATACTCTATATCTACATGCCCTGAAAAAAACATGGATTATGCAACCGATGTAGAACTCCCGAAAACTTGTCCCACTCTCGTGCAATAATGGAAATTCCGGCATTGTAAGCATTGAAAAAAAATTTTCAACCATTTCCTCATCATGTTCTAGGATCTGGGCATTTGAATTTTTTTCCTTCAAACAAATTTCAAGACCTTTTCTCAAAACATAGGAAAAAAGAACTTTCCAGTTGTGGCCGAAGTTTCCCATATCTTTCACTAAATGCTGAAAATTTGTCATGAGAGTTTAAAATTTGAAATATTTTGGCTGTGTGTTTTTCATGGCTCAAAAATTGGACATCAGTTTTCTATTCAAAAACCAAAAATGCAACACCTTTTTCAGGAGTAATAAAAAATAAAATAAAATAAAGTGTAGGTCCAATACAATTCTCTCCCCATGTTGAGGGTTCTCCACCGCGAAATTATCTTCACAACTAATTTTTTATGGTCGACTTAGTTTTGTTCTGGAGAGTCCCCATTCTCCAAATTTTCGTCACAATCCCTTGCCAGTAATACATTTTTCGGCAATAAAATTATTCTATTCAACGGCTTCCAAGTTTGACATCAACTCATACTGCACTTCGCAAAGAAATTATGGACAACTCAGCAAAAATAAAAAAAATGCGACAATCTTGCCTCACCTGCAGCAACTCGACGTCGGACGGTGAAGCACAGGGAAGATCCAATGGCTCCGTCTTGAGCAATGCGTCCATTTGATTAACCAAGTCAGGATCGGGACTCTTTTGGCTCAACGGCGACCCCATCCAAGGATCGCTCAACGAGCCACCGCTCAAATGCGTGTTCATGGTCTGATTGAGCAATGCCAATCCGTTCGTCATTTCTATGTCAACCGACAGCGGGGACAGAGTGGGGACATCATTGTATTTGTCCCCAGCCCCGCCAGTCCCAGAAAACAGATCGGAACTCGAGAGCATGGCACAAATATAGTCCTCTCTGCCGTCTCTCAAGTCATCTGTGTTCATACAGGGATAATTTACACTGGTCACGTTCAAAAAGCAAAATGTTTTCAATGACTTAGCACCGCAAGAAGAATATCTGTCGACGGGGGAAATAAAAAGAGAGGAACATTATTAAACTTCTTAACCGTTTCGTATAAGTTCGTGTGCAAACGGGTTTTTCGCGTTGATTCAAAATACTGTAATACATCGATGTCTCCTGAATAATTGACCAATAACCTTGACAAACTCACAGAGTCGAGTAGAAGTTCAGTCACCTTCCCGGCTATTTATAATTTTATGGTTCTAGTATCGTTGTCGAGAACAATGGTACAGTAGAACTCCGATTCTCCCGAACTCGAACCAACCAAACATCAAATTATCTTCCGCATTTTTTCTAACCTTCGAACTCAAATTTTTTTCTTGTCTTTTTTCATATTATTTTACACATTAATTTCCATAACACGTATTTACAACACTTACGGGTAAAATGTATGCACGCACTTGTCTGCAGAAGCTACCGTCAAAATTACGGTACCACTTGAAAAGTGCAATGTATCTACTGCAGATAACATATTTCCGCGTCATTTCACTCTGAACATTTAACTACTGTATCCGAGCATTATCAAGAGAAATAATCGAAGTTATACTCGAATTGAGAAAAAAATTCCCACGCGAAAAAATTTTTCTGACTCGCCCTTGCACGCGTTCACGTTCTGTCGATCCCGAAACTTCCAGGATTCCGGATTCTATTTTAAACAAACATTCATTATTGGGAAATAGGCATAGTAAGGCGATCAATTGAACCTCTCAAGAATAGGTTGCAGCCTTCTGCACATCTCCTGCTAGAAATTAATGCTCTAAACCCATCCCGAGGGACATTAATAAAATGACCGCAAGCTACTGTTCAACGCCAGATTACGTTTAGAAGTTTGTCAACGACATGATGACCATCAAAAAGATGTAAAAGCCTTCATCGTACTTCCCATTCGTGATTTTTTTCATAAAATGACCACCGGGAACACACGAACGAAATTTCAGCTTGTAATTATTACAAAAGGAAAGGCAGATAATTATAAAAATACGTACTCAACGACAGGGCGAGTACATCACGAGTAAGCCGCACCTCAAGTTTTCTAGCAGGCATTCATGACAAGATGTATAAAAAATTACAGAAGTTTCAAAATGTATGCGCCACAAGAATATGTGAAGCTTCTGCGGGGAAATAGTGACACAGAATGAAGGTTCTCAATTCTCTATGAAGCGGAGATCATCAATAAAAAGAATAGCGTTGTTTCATAAATATGTGACGTGAGGAAATACAGTAGATGAGTAGAAAATCGTTACAACGTACCTGTTCATAACGAATTAATGCAACGATTTCAGTTTTTCGGTCCCTATCCAATAGCCGCGATGTTATTTTAATTTCGCTTTAACGAATTTTCGTTTTCAAGTCCCGAACGCTTCGCTGTACGATATTCTAAAGTACAGCGTGATTCCTCTCATGTTTTTTCGCGTACACCACACAGTTACAATCTCAAGTAAACACCGGAGTTGGTCGATTAGACATCAGTGCTCTCCTTGGTGAAACGCGTCAAGTTGAAGCAACCCCTGAAGATTTCGGGTAGAAATTTACCCTCAACAGAAAAATAAACCACAACACTTCAGCCTAAAACGGTCTACGCGACAATTCGGATCTCAGTTAAAACCGCGCCATTTTTCGACTCAAATACTGTACTCGCACAATAACATGCACTCGCGAGCAGCATTTCAAGCGTGATCACCGCACAACGCAGGTTCCACTCACCACTATAAGTTCCTTATCCACCCCGCTCTCGAACTCCGTGCGCGCACTGATGCCTTTTCATCAAAACACTAGTAAACGTACGTACGCAAGCACGCACGCCACGAACGACGCAGCCAACTGGCACCAAATCTTAAGTACTAGTGCCAGTGACGAAGCAAACAACGCGGGCTTCACACAACTTCCCATTTCCCGCCCGAATTGGTCGGAAGTTCCTTCCGCGCATCAAGGCCACACACGACAGCAGAGCACAACACACCAGCCTTGCCTTCCATCATGCATCACCACCACCTCCCCTCAGGGGGAAAAACACAAACACACCCTCCCGCCGCACCATGCAGGCGCACACCTCGGGCTTCCGCAAGAGAATGACGCCCGGGTAGCAATGCAAACAACAGGACACACTTGAGCGCCGGCAATATCGCGCGCGGCAATAGGGAAAACTGAGCGGGACCCGCGGTTTGGTTCGCGTGTACAGAACACTATCCTCATGCATTCCCTTTCTTCGAGCAGCGAAGTTGTTCCAACGCGGGGCGGCGCCAGGATGACAGACGGACAGACACAGAGGAGCTCCTATCATGGCAGCTGCGGGTGACGTACACACGTGTGAGCTCCCTGTCTGTCCGTCTTCTCAGCTCAACATGCTCCCGAGGATGGATATACTGTACAGTATAGACAGATGATGGGGAACCCGGGAATATTCGAAGGAATCAAACCGGAGAAAGAAAAGAAGAGCGGCAACGAGTCAAATTCTCATGAAGGGCTAGTCCACATATTAAATGGAACAAAAGAAGCGCGAAAACACGCTCACACAGTAGCAATAATCAACATGCAAAGCTTTACTTCTTTACGATTAAATCTGTAAGTACTGCACTGTACTGTACAAGGTATTCACTCGAATTCCACGTGGCCACTAATGAGACGCACACCCGGGTCTCTAATTTGGAAATCTTTAAAAAAATCCTACCCCTCCCACCAAGGACAATATCCGATTGTTAGAGACTCTAGATACCATAATATAATGTACACAAAAAAAGGAAATCCAAATTTGAATTTTTACACAAATTAACGCGATGTTCAATTGTTTCCATTAGAAAACGTTTTTCTGCTTAAATTGATCCGAAATTTCCCCATTAGAATTGGAAAACTTGAGGTGCGGCTTACTCGTACTTGGTTAGAATCTAGTACATACAATGCACATATATTTAGAAACTTTTTGAAAAATGTCGCGTACCCCCTTTTCCACCTCAAAGTTGACGAAAACGGTGCACTTGGCAGTTGGCACTCAAGTAAATACTGTACAGTATTCAGCAAATTTTCAGGAAATCATCCACTGTATTTCTAAACCACAAAACAAACTTTCATGAAATTATATGAAAAGGACTTATGGCTTAAATGGAATCTTAATTCAATTTATTGGCAAATCTCATTAGAACGAATTTTGGTATACTGGTTGCAACAAAGTTGCTTTTCACGTCTCTGCATAATAGCAGTAATCTTATTAAAAGTTCTTCATATCAAATTCCTTTCTACAGCAAAACTGTTTTCCTGGTCCCAACACCTTACTTTTAGATTTTACTGCACAGTAAAGTATTTTCAACTAATTTTCTTATAACATACATTTGTAGCTGCTAAGGTTTAAATGGGTAACGCATGCTGAAAAATGACCAATAATTAGGAACATTGTGATTGAAAAGCTTTCATCATTTGGAAGGAAGCGCATTAGAATGTTCACAATGCGAGAACATCAGGCATACAATGCAGTACAGTAGTGGCTAAAATAACATATATGATTTTGGAATTATTCTAGTTTCCAATGAGTGGGGCATTTGGAATTTGTGAAATTACGATATACAATACATACATGTACGGTACGGGGAAAATACACGAATTCCTGTCAAGGAGAACTTGTTTTGCTGGAACAGAGGACATTGTCCGCGATTCAAAATTATAATCAGAACCTTCCCCTAGGATTAAAAAAAAAAACTTCGTCAAAGTTTACAAATCTGGAAACTTTGACGAAATATTAAACAATGTATATAAGAAGCAAACTTGCAATAATTCATTGCAGATGCTCGTCTCGGTGATGGACAAGGGTCCTGACAAATGATCTAGCATCAACTTAAAAAGCATCAACCGCAGCTTCTTTTGGGATGCAGCCAAATGTTGAAGTATTCTTATCTGAATTTTTGAATACACCACGTCATATAATCCATTTCCTGCAGGAACTTGACCACAGTACATACATAGATGACTGATAGGGGTACATGAATCTTTGTCCTCTTATCTTCATGCAGAGATGAAAATTTTCCTCATATTCCAAGAAGTGTAATTTTTTTATGAACAAGTATTTATTGAAATTTTTGCTTGATAAAAATAACAGTATTTCAGAACTTCAAAAATTACTAAAAGTCATTAAAAAAGGGTTGCTATCAATGCTGATTTTAGCTATCAAAATCTTGAAATATGCGAGGAAACCAAGCTGCTCATAACCGCATTCTGGGTACCACATTGCAATTTGAATCACCTGCAATTTCAGAGAATGAGCTGGTACATTCAGAGAATATACTGTAATCAACTTTTTCGTTCGGTTCGCTCAGTGAAGTCAACAGAATAGCACGGATTTTCGGCGGTGGCGTTGAGAAAACATCACTTCACCTTCAGTTTCGTAGAGCTTGAGAGGGTATTTTTGGGATAAGCTGAGGTCTAACCACGATAAAAAAAATCAGAGCATCAGGGGCAAAAAAATATCATCAACATTTCAACCGACCGATATCTAGACTAGCCATGATATTCAAGAAATTCTTCATAGGATTCTCTTGAAATTATCGACGCCCGACATGGAGCTCAACCGTTCCAGCGCAGCTCTCGAAACCGACTGAACTAGCACTCCCAGGAAGAATCGCATGATCTCACAGAACTCGTGACAGAGCCGAGGTAAACGACGCGGGGCGCTGGCACACATGGCGTCGTGCTCAAAACTAGTTAGCTGGGTTATTCCGCGATACAGCGGAAGATAACCAGTCGCTGGATTGCGCCAGAGCCACGACCACCAGAAGGAAGGGGGACTAACAGACAGACAGGAGGCAACTCATTCACAAACGTACCTGTCTTCGCGGTCACTAGACACATACATACGTACATACAAGCGCTTCACTCTCACTCTCTCTCCTTCCTCCTTGCTTACTACACTTGCACCCATGTTTTTCTTCCACGGTGGGGCGCCATCCGCGGTTATGGTATGGAAGTGGGGTTGCCAAAGCGTAGCCACGCGGCACCCGTGCCGTGTTTGATACCT